ATTACCACAAACAAAATTAAAGCTTGTAATAAAGTGTAATCACTTGTAATTTCAGAACAAAATGAATAAAAAATATATTGTTGAGCTGTAAAAGACGAAATCCAAATTTTACCTAGAGGCAGTTTTCGCAAGTTTAGATTTAAGCATAAGAAATTCATACCTATAGTGGCGACGCGGTTGTAGTATGCCTACAGCAAGTCGACTCATGTGTTGGAAGAGGTAATAGTGCAAAGTCCTATAGAGGCGCGTTTCCGAGGGTTTGCACCCAGATGTCCCACAGAAGTGGAAGCAGTGGCATGTCACTATACACTCAAGCTATACTTGATGTTAATAAAATGTTAACAAACAAAAACATATATAATTTATAGGGTTTTCACCCTAGCGCATTTGCGCTACTGCTCGTTCACTACGCTGACCTCCCTGAGAAGAACGAGCAAGAAACTCTATGGATTGCTCTTTTCAAATAAACTTAAATGCTATGGAATATATTTTGAATCATAATTGTGACGAATCTAGACTCTTGTTGTCTTTTTGTACATCTTTGACTAACACGTACTCCAAAATTTTGTAACATGTCTTTCCAATTAAAATACTTTTAATGTAAGTTTTAGACTTGCGAAATGATAATCCTAACATACGCTCCGGAACTTTATTGTAAAAACGTGTACAGTTTCCCATAAAAGAATCGTATACGTACGAAATCGTGGTACCATGAGTTTGGACTTAGTTCGAAAGTTAATATTATGGATATCTTCATTCTTAATGAAATTTTGTAAATTTTTAAGGGCATACTAAATATTTGAGTAAATGTACTGTGATGCCACAGTCACGACACCAGTTTCCTTAAACCTAAACGGTACATAATCGTACACGCACTCGGATGCGCATGTCCATACAGTGCCCTTCCTAGTTCTCTCATACACAATAAATGTAAGGCGGCTTCACATCGTTTGTTGCGTGTGCTCCATCCGCCTATTGTTTTGTAATTGAGATCTACCCCATGTGTAAAAGTTGGAAGTTCGGGAAAATCTACACTGCCTTTTGCCTATCTCTGGTAACACCCCATAATACACCATACACCTATAGTACATCCGTCCGAATGAAATTAACAACCCGAGCTCAGTATTCTCGCAAAATTTCAGCGATAATCACGCTTCCACTACCGCATCGGCGTTTAACGCATATAGATTATTGTGCAACCGCGAAAAGCAATAAACATGATGCTTTATACGCCCGAATAAGCAACACCTCATTAATATTGTAGAGAGAGAGACGTTGATTTATTTTTCATCACACTTGCACGTAAACAGTATGATTGCATGCAGGCTAACTTGATTGTAATGCCCCAAATAAAACTCTTTTCTTCTCATTAGACGACCATGGCTGTCAAGAATAACTCATTTTAATATTTAAAAAAAAGTAATTTAATAACAACTACTTGGACCATTCGTAACAGCCTATATTTATTTCTCCAGTTACAGATATATTCTAGTAGCATGTCAACCTTCCGTGTCATGAGATATTAGTAAACGACAGTATTGGATTTGTTTCACATTTATTTTAGAATTACATATTATTTTAGAAACACTAGAACTCATTCTGAAGGACTTCGTCCAGGGAAGTACCTTACACATGTATTGTCTGCCGCCAAGCCATCACATTGCGTTCCGGTTTTGAAGGGTAAGGGTGCTGATGAAATTATGGGTACATGGGACTAGTCAACTTATGTCTTAGGGTGCAACACAACAACACCACGAAAAGCAGAGGTCGTCAAAATAAAATGTTTATTAAATAGAATTAACTTAATTGTATTAAGCAGTCTTACATTACCTTGCCTTTAATGGCTTCAGGTTGTAAATCATTGGATAGATAGATATCTAGTTTATCATTGTTTTAATAAAGGATAATATTATGTGATAATTGATCTATTCTAATTTTTTTATATTTATGCTACTTTTATAAATAAACGAAATTTTTATATGTTTAACCATAGTAAATTAACATTGGTGACGCGCGCGCAACACACACCCACTCACACACACACACACACACACACACACACACACACACACGCGCGCGCGCACACACACACACACACACGCACACACACACGCACACACGCGCGCGCACACACACGCACACACACACACACACACACAAACACACACACACACACACACGTTCTTATTATTATTTTTTCATTATGTATAAATAAAAAAAGGTTTTAAATTTTAAATTTTACTACGCCATTGGTAGCTTTGCTGGTACTTATAGCACAGGAATTTTACTTTTTTAAGTACCAGCTGTCATATCTGCTGATTGATACTTGCTTACTGTACACTATGCCTGTTGTATTATTATTATGGCAAATAAATTTATTATTATTATTATTATTATTGATCTCCTAATACATCGTGATTGGTTGGTTGCGCCCTCCACTCAGTAGGTTAGGTCACGTGAGCCGAGCGAGGGAAGCGAGCTGCAGCAGCGGCTGGCGAGTGCTAGAAGCCAATTTGCTTGCGTTTCCGAACATGATTTCAGGTCAAATTATAATTATTGATAGTAGTATACAAATATAATCAGCATTTACTAGTTTTAAAAATAAGTATTCAAATTTTAGTTTTAATACTCTTTGTCTTAGTTTTGAGGCACCACATAAATCTATCAAAGCTAAATTATACAAATCAAACATTTTTTGCTTAGCTCTGAACAGATTAAAACATACATCGATTTAATTTATTTTATGTATCTGAGATAAAAGATGAATAATTAAAAAAGATGACAGTTAATTTTTTGCAAATTTAAAATGATCATTTAAATACATGCCTTTTAATAATTAGTCATATTATTATTAACTACTTTTTGTCTAACGTTTTCGCTTAGCAACTTTAGCAAATTTTCAATTTCGTTAAACCTTGTTACGATCGTTGAACTGCGTCGTGAAATCGCTGAACAAAACCGATTTTCAACTAATTAGCGGTTGCTGATAGCTAGTATCTACTGGTATCGTTTGTTCAGAGCAGAGCGAATTCGATGATCCCGGAGATTTATTTAAATTTTTGAATTAAAACACTTTCCTATAGGGTGTAACAATGAGGTTAAATCACGTCAGGTAATGATCATACTTAAGAGCAAACAACTCATAAAAACGATAGTGACGAAATATTTTCATAGATTTATCATAGATGGTGCTAACGCTACAAAGTCGTTGAAAATCAAATATAAAGATCCGACAACAAGCACACAGAAAAATTCGTGAGGTGTGCTGTTTCGTAGCTTAGTTGGCATAGCGTCATGCATGGTTTTCTAGAAGACGTCGGTTCTAATCCGGCCGGATCGAAGGAATTCTTTTTAAGTGAGTCGATCCTTGTATTAATAATTATAACAAACTAGTGGAGTAATTTCACAAAAAAAATAATTGAATATCAATTCCTTACAAATTTATGTTATACAAACATTGACTTACAATTATATGGACGTCGTGTCCGCGCTAACAAGTGTCCGAGCTTATAGGGCGTTAAAATCGTATACAGAGCGTCATTCACGCTTTAGTCTTCGTTTGTTCGACTGACAGCGAAGCAAGCAAAATTAGACAGTACTGCAATGACATTACAATTTAAATTCAACGTTTTAGCTTTTTCATATTCCTTTACATATCACTACGTTTAAATAGGTTGACTTGGGATATTTTTTCGTGGTTTTTGTATTAGACCCGTCGTCCATTTATTTGTAAGTCAATGTATACAAAACAAAATTCATCACAAAATTGTGCCGACCTCACCTAGCGTGGGCTAAGGACAGGAAGAAGAAGAAGGTCACGGCATATTCGGACTATAAAGTCAACTCCTGGCTCCTGTGGCAGAGAAGCTTAAAGAGAAGCGACTCTGCATAAGCAGGTGAACAGAAAGTTACTCAGTAAAGGTATTATTATACATCCCCAGAAGAGTAAGTCCCCCGGCGACCAATGTCGAGAAAGACCTGAATGACCGGAATATCACACCAACGACTGACGTCCCTGACGCCGATGTACAAGGACGCCCGATCCCTATAATGGGAAAAGAGGAGTAAAAAGAAGAAGACCACTCGTGCAAACGTAAGAACGCGATATCATTATCTTTTCTGATTATTTTATAATAAAATTTGCATCCTTTACCACGAGTTTACTGTGACAATTGTCGCATACGACTGCGTAAATTACTTCACAGTTTTGTATAGTAAATTTTAGAGCGCCGCTAGGTGCGCTAGGTCACTAGAAGAAACATAATTTAGTATACAAACAATTTACGCGGTCGGTTTATAACTGTCTCTGTAATCTCATGGTAGAGGCACAGAACCATCGGTTTACGTTCCCCGAATGGTCCATTTTCACAATATTCCTATTTTGCCAAATTGTGCACTTGTTATTCTCGACTCGTCTATTTCCCATTTCGTCTTTTATCGTCGGTCTATTTTACCGATTGGTCTACTTTCCTAAATAAAAACAGTACTTGTTGATGATGGAATTCTGTGAAATAAAATATTTTAAATGATAAAATGTTTACATATGTTTATTTACAAAGTGCAACCCCTACAGTTTCTTGCTCATTCTTCTCAGTGAAATCTGCCTTGTAAATGAACGATAGGTTTAATCAATATGACTACAATCATACATTAAAGAAGCATTTTTTTTAAACTGAAGATTTGCTTTATTGTAGTTTGCTTAATTGTTATTCTATGAGTATGTAAGTTAACATGTTTTTGCACCTATTTGGATGTAGTGACAAACAATATGATGGGACTCTAGTCTTTCTATCTGTTATTTTTGCTCCATTGTATTATTTTTTTACTTAACTTAGCCTGAACCGCTTCGCCGCGGATAAAGCCAAAATGGCTTTTGTGAACGATGCTTGTAATGAAAAATAAGTATTTTTTTCTTACTACTATTCCTACGACGTACTTACAACGTACTCTTTCACAACGAGCTCTACGACTATAGTAATACTTGTGTGTAGTATACGCACCGTCTGACTCTTCTTTCGGCGACGTATCTCAGGCGTTCGGCGTCTCTGCCAAAGACGCGGACTCTGTCTGCCCCCTCCAACACACATTCCGGGTATTGGAAGAGCACTCGCACACCATCTCCGCAGGGGAATACAGAACCCCCGTGGACGTTGAGGACGAATTGCTCGGACCAATCAGCCTGAAGAATAAAAGAATTTTTTAAGAAAATAAAACTAATAATCTCTGCATAGAGTACTAAAAACACTTTCGAAGTCACTCATCCCCTAGTTTGCCATGCTTAGAGGTGGAATATTGTCTTCAAATTTAAATGGAACCAATACTGAGGTACCCTTTTTGTAACAAAAAAAGAATCGTTACAATGGGTTCACAACGTCGCCTGAGTTATCGCGTAACAACCATACAAAAAAAACCTTGAGAACCTCCTCCATTTTTTGAAGTCGGTTAAAAATAATGTCAAATTTGTATAAAACTTGAATTCAATAAAATGATGTAATAATATTTAGTCTATATATAGTCCCAATAATAATAGCAGATAATAGCCGAGCCCGTGCTTGACATTTTGATCCCCACACGCCAACTAACGTTGTTGGTTGTTGTGTGTGTCGTATCGTTTGTTGGACAAAATTGGCAACCCACTCAAACACAATTTTAATTTAAATTAAAACGTAGCTCAAGCGCAGCTTTATTTTATATTATTTAAATTGAAATTTAAAATTTTTATGCGATTTTATTATAACATTTAAATTTTCAATTTTAATTTTATTACATTCATAAATATTAAACTGTAAATTAATATAGTAAAAACATAGTAGTAACTTGTGAAAGAGCTCGTCCAGGTTAGTACTGCCACCTTACCTATTTCTGCCGCCAAGCAGTAATTGCTGGTGAAATTACAGGCATATGGGACTTGTCAACTTATGACTCAGGGTGACGGACGCAGTAGCACTGCCCCTCAGATCTTTGCGATTTAAAGCTCTGAGTGGCACTGCAACTGTTATGGACAGGCCTGGCAGCTTACGTCACTAAACATTAAAAAAAACATTTCTGCAAAACTAACCTACTAGTTTAGTTTCTACTAACTTTACCAGTGTTATCTTGAATAAAAAACTATTATAATTATTCATTGACTTACAAATAAATGGACGACGGGTCTAATACAAAAACCACGAAAAAAATGTCCCAAGTCAACCTATTGAAACGTAGTGACATGTAAACGAATATGAAAAAGATAAAACGTTGAATTTAAATTGTAATGTCATCGCAGTACTGTCTAATTTTGCTTACTTCGCTGTCAGAAGAAACAAACGAAGACTAAAGCGTGAATGACGCTCTGTATACGATTTTAACGCCCTATAAGTTCGGACACTTTTTAGCGCGGACCCGACGTCCATATAATTGTAAGTCAATGGGTTTAATTGTCAATTTTTACATGTTATATAGCGACACTCGTCTTTTGCTCATCTTTTGATACACCCTAACACGGCAATATTGCCTGGTCTAGTATACAAAAAAATGCTGAAAATGAAACCATGTAATCGGTCTTAGTGTCATTTACATAATATTTATTAATATTTATAACATATAACATTTATATGGCGAAAGGCCATGAAGTGATTGATGTTCCCTGCCCACGAACTTATTTCCTGAAGGCTGTAACTTGAATCTTTTCAAGGCGAGAGTGAATAATCATTATTTAGGTGTGCATGCTGCATAGTCGACCACATCGTCACTTCCCATCAAATAAGATGGAAGTCAAAGGGTCACTTATTTTTCCATAACAAGAATTTATTAGTAATAATAAAACTAATAACTGCCTCCGGGTTCGATTCCCGGGCCGGGAGAAATATTTGTATGGCCTACATTTATTTCCCTCGAGAGTTTGGGTGTAATTTATGGTTGTCCATGTGCTATGTTGATTGTGTACGTTATTATTATTATTATTGAAAGTTATATTTTTCAAAACCTTCAATCGTAACTTTTTTTATAAAATAAATCGAGCTCAAAAGTACGTGGAACTACATCTATTTCCCAAGTTTCATTTGAAAAAAGGTTACCTAAAAGTGCGCGAACCTGGATTCATCCCCTAGTTTCCCACCCTTAGAGGTGGAATATTTTTTTTAAATTTAAATGGGGCCAATACTCATCAAAAAAAGAATCATTAAAATCGGTTTATAAATCGGAGTAATCATGTGACATACACACAAAAAAAACAGTCGAATTGCAAATCTCCTTCTTTTTTGAAGTCGGTTAAATGTCAACATACTTAAAAGAGCAGTTCATCAAACAGGTAAAAACCAGCCCGATTAACTTAACCTTCAAATAAATAATGGTAATTAGGGTTCACTGAAAACCAGCGTCACAGCCTTCACTCAGCTGTGACATTGGCTGAATGGATTCTTTTACATACGCCACAGTCGCACACATTCAAATCGAGTTGACTGTTTAAAATTTGATTGTTATTTTATTTTTTGTTTTTACTTTTGCTTTGTCTTTTTTATATTGTTGTGTTGCTGCGTTGTAATAAATGAATTCTGTTCTAACCTAATCTGCCTTGAGATGAGTCCATCAGACAATACATAAAAGCTTCAAACTTATAACACCCCCTTAAAAAAACTTTAACTTATAAAAGTATCTACATATTATAGAAAAGTTAACTCGAAGTAAAGTTCGAAGAAAACATGGTAATTTTCACAAAGAAACGGAACTAGTAAACTTATGACTTTACTAGAATTGATGTATTTAATTTCTAGGTTTAATTTAGACATCTCACTTTTTTATGTAGACAAACGCTTGACCTCAATCAGAAGTAATATTGGTTTTTATTTAGACTCAAGTAACAGTAGTACTACAAGGAGTACGAACTCTTGTTCGTCCAGGTCAGTACTGCTACCTTACTTCTTTCTGCCGCCAAGCATTCAACTCCACTAGTTTATTATAGTTATTAAAGACATAAATCGAACTAAAAAGAAAAAATCCTTCGACCCGACAAGACTCGAACCTGCGACCACGAGATTCCGTCCCCATTGCTTTACCAACTAAGCTACAGGTCGAGTTACTAAGTCGACGAATTTCTTCTGTGGCTACGCACTAAATCCTCTTTGGTATATGCAGTAGAGGCCTGCTCTTTGGTCGGCCGCTTAGAAATAATTGTAAGTTTTTCATAAAAAAAAAAACTGAAAAGTTAGCAGTTTTTTTCTATTTCCATAGGATGCCCTCATCAGCTTCTGATTGGAAACAATGGGACTGTTACGGGCTTTTTCTGGTTGTCATGGTGACTGTGATTTGTTGATAGTGTCTTATTGTGACATGTTTATGTGTCAAGTGAAAAGTCGACTTTAATTTGTGGAAAATATTCTTTTTATTTATGATAGCCGAAACGAACCCTGAACAGCATCGTCAGCATCAGGGATCACCGCGAAAGTATACCTTTTAAAGAAAAAAGTATTTTCAAAAGTGGTCCACAATTGATGGAGAAATCGGTATGTACACTGACATGCCTCTATAATTCGAGGACTTTCCTCGATTTCCATGGATCTCCTCATCAGATTCTGACTTGGTGACAATAGGACAACCACGAGAGTGCACCCTTTCAAACAAAAAAAGAGTTTTCAAAATCGGTCTACAATTGACGGAGAAATCGAAAAACATACATACAGCCAAACGTATAACCTCCTCATTTTTTTTTTGAAGTCGTTTAAAAAAGTGTATCCGCAATTTTTCTACAATAAATAAACCACTTCCGTGTACCGCACCGCATCTCATCGTGTTCATCAGCGCCAACTAACATCATCAGGTGAGTGGATTTCTGCTGCTTTTTAAATTCCCTTTTGGATCCAGCTCCAGTGCTAGCCATTCGCATTTGTTCGCAACTTTTGCCTATTTACATGCCCTACCATTCGGTGTCTCACATCTGTGATAGATTATATGAACCTTCTCACTCAGCATGCTCAGCGTTCTGTGTATATATTTATTTTCTGTTATAAGCTCTAGTACTAGATATTATAAAATAAAAAATCGACGACGTTGCAAAGTAAGTGCCTGCTACAAGAATACAAATGGTCAAATAAGTTTCCATAGGTTTATTAAAAAAAAATGTAATACATTTTGTGTCTTACGACTTTACCTATTTCTGCAATGAAGCAGTAGGTAATATGAGCATTACTGCGTTCCGGTTTAGAAGGGTAAGGGTGCTGGTGAAATTAAGGACACGCGGCAATTGACAACTTATGTGTCAGGGTTACAGACGTGTTGCAGTACCGCTCAGATCTTTGCGATTTAAAGCTCTGAGACGTATTCATAATAACTAACTAGTTAACGTAACGACTCAGTAAACTATCTTTAAATTGCTTTAGTCGAAAATAACGAAGAAAAACTCAAGTCTAATAAAAGAAAGAACTTACATTTTTCTTTATAGGAACTGTTCTTGAAATCGTGATTGTAGGAATTTTCAAAGCAATTTGTAGCAGGGGATGTTATTATAGTTAATTGTACGATGTTATTTTGTGGGGAAAATGACTATGTTATTTTGTTAGCAATTGTGTAGTAGGAAATGAAATGTTTCCCTTGTTGTAATTTGACAAATTTGATTTCTTTTCATTGTGTTGAACTAGTAATTTATTTTACTTTAACATTTCCTAATAAATATACCAAATAGTTATATAAACCAGAGGGTTGTAGACATATACAATTGTACCCTCAATAATAATGTGGCGTAATTCGTAAAGTAACTTTCGGAAAAAAAAATTACGAATAAACGATCTCAAAAGTTTGCCTATCCACCAGTAATCTTATCCTTCCAAAACCGGAACACAGTAATGCGGACATTACTGCTTAGTGGCAGAAAAGGTGGCAGTACTTCCCTGGACGAACTCTTTCACAAGGAGCTCTACTGCTACTGTGTGGTTGTGTGATTTTGTGATAATGTCACTATCATACAGACTATTGTTGTCGATGGTAGCGTTCTTTGTCATTGCGAAAGTCCGGATAATTTCCACCGCCTTTTTTATTTCTACGGTAAAGCAGCACCCTTTTTTTCCAGATTGAAAGGTAAGGGGAGGCAGTGTAATCATAGCAGCGGGAGACATAATACAGTGTAATCATAACTATGATACCCTCGATTATAAAGTGGCACAACTCGATAAATTTCACATACAGAAAGTTTAGAATACGGAATT